TAGTTAACCTTCATCTTGCCAACTGGCTGACATGCACCAACACAAAGATCACTGATGAACTACAATCACGTTATACAGCAGTTCACCTTTCATTGATTTCTGCTGAAGTTCAAAGTGAGCATAAAAATGGGGAAGAAAGAGGATTTTAGTGACTCTTAACATGACATAGGTTGTTGGTGTTGTTGTATTTCAGAAGCTGCTGATTTCCTGGGATTTTCCCACAACACCATCTCTAGTGTTGCAAAGTGAGCAGCAGATCTCTGGGTGAAAATGTCTCACTGATATCAGAGGAGAATAAACCGGTAGCTCTGAGGTGAGAGGAAGGTAACAGTAACTAAAACAGCCACTTGTTACAACCAAAGTATGCAGAAGAGCATCTCTGAATGCACAACACCTTTAAGTAGCTGGGCTACAGCACCAGAAGACCACACCAGTTGCCACTCAGCGAGCATCTCGTATCAGTGGTTCAGGCCGGTGGTGGTATAAGGGTGTGTGGGATTTACCACACTCACCACAGTTCGTACCTTTTTAGTACCAGAAGAGCCTCACTTAAACACCACAGTCTACCTGAGTATTGTGGCTGACTATGTCCGTCCCTTTATGACCACAGTGCACTCATCTTCTGATGGCTGCTTCCACCAAAATAACACACCGTGTCACAAACCAGTTCACTGTACTCAAATATATCTCAGTGTCAATATAATAGAGCACCTCTGAAGCCCATTAATCTGCAGTAGCAATATGACCAGTATCTGAGAGGAATGTTTCCAGCAGCTTTTTGAATCTATGCCACAAAGCATTAAGGCCTACCTAACCAGCTACTATCAACCGCTGTAAGACATTTATCCCCTTTTTTTTTTTTTATTAGCATGACTTGCAATTCTCCCTATGCTCAGAAGGCTTAACTCTAGTGAGGACCAACAAAACCAGCTACACATATTTCCCATCACATTATTAACAAACCACAAGCTCATTTAACTTTCATTGAATATGTAAAAAATAATTATTAGGGCTGGGAGGAATTAGTGGTGTACAGATGACAATTTAAAATAAATGATATTCAAAGTAAATAAGCACCAACCTGTCCCATCCTGTATCTGTTTCTCTCTTTAGCCACGTAGTCAAAAAAAAAAAAAAAAAAAAAACTAAACTAAACAAAACTTCAGTCTGAGAACTCAATAACAAACATTTCTTCACCAGCCTCTATAATTTCACCTCCTCTCCTCAGCAGCCTGTAATTTCCTCCCTCTCCTGGGTCAAACACAGGCTCTCTGTAGCTCGCTATTTAACGAGATTGTGCACTTGGTTACATAATGACGGCGAATAAGAGCACTAACCTCACCTATACCTGCCGTGTGACTCCCGTCGCTTAAAACCACGTCTGTGAGGAAGCCACAGGTGAAGGTGGTAAAGCTGCTGAGGACCGGGAGCCGATTTGTGGCTTTGATTTCATTCATAAACACTTTCAGGACCAGTCGTCGCGTTAGACAGCAGTTCAGTGACAGCTGCCCCGGTCGGCACATTACAGCCTCATCACCCCACCAACAAACCAACAGACCGGAGCGTTTCTCTTCACCCTCTTCACACATTAACCTCCTCTCGGTAAATGTCCCACACACAACCCGGTTTCTTACCCTTCGGCGCTTCTCCGTCCCTCACACAGGTCCGCCTGTCGTCTCCGGGTCCATCTATTTACTGTCCACACAGAATGGTACGGTCTAGTCTTGTGAGCGTCACACGTCACTTCCGGAGCCTCTATAACCCGTGCACCTGTAAAGCTGTTCACGTGGTCAAAGATCGTCTATGTAGTGCGTGACAGCACAGGAACGTGAGTTTCTAATAGCACTGAAGGTAAAATATATGAATACATTTTTAAAAGTTCTGCTTTGTAATTACATCATAGCGGAAGACCACAAGCTGATTCATGTTACATGTGAATTTCTTTCTAAGTTTCTTTCTAGATAGATTATTGATCCATCTGTGATTATCTTGATAACTGAACTGTCATAATGCTTTAATTCTGTGCTGTACATTTGCAGTTTGGCACACAAAATAATACAATTTTAATTTTCACATACAAAAATACAAATTTATGTAACGTGCATATTCTTATCAAGGTCTACCCTGATCAGAATATTTTGATCAAGGTATAGTACTGGCTTTATTTATGTATTTATTTTTCTATGCTTATCGTTCTGTTTGTTTAATTTAGTTGCTTTTTATTCTTGATAGACACTTTAATGATTCTGCAAGAGATATAACTGTGCTACAGGACCTTCATAAAGAATAATAATAAAATGAGTGTAATCTACAATGAACACAAAATGGTTAAAGGTATCACAGGCTCATATTTATGGTCTTATTATGTGAGGTGGTGAAATATTTTATATACAGTATGTACATATACACACTTATACAAAAGTTAAAGAAAAACAGCAAGACTGAGATTGTGCAAAAGAGAATTCTAGCAGATATACTGTAGATGCCATAAATAAATGCTAATTAATTGTTTAATTATTATTAATTAAAGAACGACACTGTGTAGGTCTTCATTGTCTTAAGGCTAACAAGAACAACACTATGCACTAACTAACACACTTAAAGTACTTTTGTTTTTAAGTGTTGTGTATCAACGTTGCCTGATTGAGGTATTTGTAAGTGTTTCCATTTCTGGTATTTTATACTTCTGTGCCATCACACTTTCACTTACTTTCATTCATTACCTGTCTGGGAACCTGAACACGGTTGAACTGAACTGTTTATTTAAAAGAAAATATTGTGCCTTCTTACATCTATTTGACCACTTTACATTTCAGGTCAACATTTTCACGTGTCAGACATGATCTGTTCATAAAATCGAATTTTTATTTTCTGCTGAATTAACATGGAGTCGGGTAATCAATTCAGTTTTATTCAACAGTATGCACCATGCAGTATTGATGTTGTTCATAATTTGTACAGATTGAGATGAATTAAATCATATAATTTACACACAGTTGATCTGGAGCTTTGAATGCTTTTCCAAAGTTGAATTTGCTCAAATTAAAGATGTGAGCATAAAAGATGTTTGACATACAAACTACATCACCCTTTGAGACTAACTTAATTTTCTATGACATACTATAAACAGTTTTTACTCCCTAAGACTTTCTTGATTGCCCCCACTTCATTACACAAAGTAAACCAATAACATCTGCTGTAAATCAGATTTCAATTTAAAAACTGGCAGTAATTTCCTGAAGGAATGGCTCATGTGTTCTTTAATTTTAAGGCTATCGCTTCAGTGCTTCTTTTTCTCTCTTAAGGCTCAATAATTGAGTATATTTCACACAGCATGGTAAATATTTACACCTGTGCAAAGGCGTAACTTTCCACAGGGCAGCTCAAGGGCCCAGAAGCTATGAGGGGACCCTTCAATGTGCACTAGAGGAGTCAGAGAAAAGCCTTAATTTCATTTTACCATAAAAATGATTGAAAAATATAAACAGTGTTGGTATGATAAACACAAAGCAATAGAAAAAAATGATGAGCATAACATGTCATTTTATTGGTTTAAAATAACTTGGGGCCTGTCAACATACACACCCAAGTTATTCTACGTTTAGTTTTTATTGTTATTGTATTCATTGTGACTTTTGTCTGTAGTTCAGTTTAGTTTCAGTTTGCTTGTTTTGGTTTAGTCTTATTAGTTTCAGCATTAGGTTCTATTCTTTTGAAGGGTTATTGTATTCGAGGGCGTACGCCCGAGGCTAGACTTAGTGAAATCGCTGTAGGTGTTACAATAAGGAAGCAGAGCTTTCTGAAAGCAGCTGACTTAAAGTCTTGTAACAAACATGCTCTTCAAAGCCTCACCAGGCAGATTATGATAACAAACGTTACCAAAGATTAAAACTAAGTTTATTTCCGGTTTTTATTTTACTTCATTTTTCCAAATTCACAAATCATTTCAGTTATTTTTAATCCCCCTCAAAAATCTAGTTTCTATTCTTGTTCTATTGAACTAAAATGTTTTTTATATATAGCTTTAGGTAACAACCTTTGTTCAGACTAACAGTGACTCTGTGAGGACAGTTGTTTTTTGCTCCAGAGTGGGAACTCTTCATTTTGTTTTGTTTTTTTGTCTCTCTTTGACGTTGTGGCTAAAAATAGCGTCCGTGCGCTGCCGGGAGGTGGAGATACAAATAATAACAGAGAGGGAGGGAGGCCGGGACTCTGGCGCCTGCTCGGCGCACACAGTTCAACTTTCAGGTCATAAAGTCACAACAAATCCACGCGGTTTAGCAGTTACTGCTCTTTCAAGCACACACAGACACAATCGGGATGATTTGTGATCATTTCGTGCCGGGACAGGTGATCGATTGGGCAGCCGGGGGAGGGAGTGAAACCGATACTGCGTAGTCTGGCCACCTCTGGCTGCACCAATGAGAGCCCGCGGAGGCTGCTCCGAAACTAGCGCAGCGCTGCATGCTTGGCAGGTGGACAAAAGCTGAGCTCAGGGCAGAAAAGTGTTTCACAAGCTTCTCTGTTTTTAAACAGGACGGGAGAGAGTGCAACACGCAAACAAACTCAGGGAAACGGAGATAGATAGTGATATCAGCGAGAAAGCAAGCAGCAGTGCCACAAAGTCAAACTGCTTCAATACAAGTGAATAAAAAAAAAATTAATCGAGTAAAATATATCCAAATTAAATAAAGGTGAATCAAGGCAATCTAAAAAATGTAGATTAATATTTAATTTCACCAAGTTGTAACATGATTATTATTATTACTGATGATTGTCTTGTGTGTTATAAAAGAATAAGCTCTATAACTGCTACATACTAATAGACAACTGTAAGTTAAAGCACCCTGTGCGCCATTAGTGAACTCTGTTCACTTATAAGAGATCTGTTCCACTTTTTCTGTCACACATATAACAATGGCTCATATCAAACATCACTGAAGTTTCTAATAATGAGGCCACTATATGTTCAAGTAATCCCTGTCATCTGAGTGCTTGTTTTTATAATATTCTTGGCTCTGTAAGTCATCACTGAGTACATATCCCCAATATGGTATGAGCACAGAAAGGGGAGAGTCTAAAGGGCTGCATAGTCAGGAAAAGATAAATAAGGATTATTTTGAGCTGTGAATCATGCAAAGCTACTCTAGTAGAATTGAAATTTAAAAAAAACATAGAGAGCTGGAAATCAACATAACTAGTCCCCTTTAATTATTCCTCCAATTTCTTATCCAGGTTCAGGTTGCAGGGGGTCTTAGCAGAGAGGCCCAGCTGATCCAGCTGTCCGGGGCCTCCTCCCAGTAAGACATGCCTGAAACACCTCACCTAGACCACCCAGACCACCTCAGCTGGCTCCTTTCAGTGTGGAGGAGTAGCCACTCTTCTCTGAATGTTAATATTTGATTGTTTTTAGTGAGCAGCAGTTAACAGTGTAGGTTCAACATTCATTTCATAGTCAGCAGCAGCACAATGTAGATTATGGCTTTCAGTGCAACACAATTAATCGACATATTTAAAGAAAAGGCAGCAGTGACGGGGAGATGTAGAGGCACATTTACAGCCGCAGCGTCGTGAATGTCAGAACTTCCTGTTGTGCAGCGCAGCAGCCAGCCGCAGCGACTCTCTTTGGTTTGAGCTAAGTGTGGCTTTGCTGCTCACCTCCTGCCACTGAAGAGCACCGTTACTGCTCAGCACCTAAAAAGCAACAGATAATAACATGTAAATGCAGAAAGGAGGAAATGTAAAACAGTCGGCCAGCCAATTTATTCTTCACGCTGTAAAACACTCGATGTTACCGTGTTGTTGATGTCCACCATCACCTGGCTTTTTCTATCCAGGTGAATGTTTAGGACAGTCATTTCCACCCAGGCGTTATCCGTGTTCCTGCAGTCATCCACATAACCCTCAAACACCTAAAACCAAACAACCACGTCCATCAACAAATTAATCGATATCATATTAATGTACCGTTTCAGCCCTGGCAGGATGCTCCCCTTCTCTCTTGAATGATTCAAACATTTCTCAGCTCAGGAAATAAGTAATTTGTCTTTGATGTTTACATTTTTTATTTTATAATGTAATATTTAATCGAATGCTTTCTATTGTATCACTAAATTTACTAACCAGTGTTTATATCAAAGACAAACAGAGGGCCTGTTCTTCCTGCTCTCTCAAAATGCTATCAGTGACAGCTGTTGACATGTTCTTCTATCGAAAGCTGTCGTGCTTTACAGCTGTTCTTTGTTTTCATTGCTCCTGCAGCTACTTTAAAGCTTTACCACCACAGTGCTGCACTGACTTACCTTTGTTCCCTCTGACAGTTTTGCGTTGATCGTTTCATACAGCTTTTTCCCCATCGTTTTTTTAAGAGTTGGTGGCAGTTTATCAGCAGAATCAACAGGGCCCTGAAGGTTTTAAAGCCACAGTGTGATTGAACAGTGCAAAAAAATGTATAAACCACATTAAATGGACAAAGACTGGAACTCACTCCAGGTAAAGATAAAGTTCTTCGACTCTCGTCAAAAACTGCCAGGTACTCCAGAACTGACTTCTCGCTGTCTCGCCAGCTAAAAATAAGTGGAAAGTCTCAGATATTTCTGTGCAAAACAACCTTTTTAAAACCTCTGCAGGGGCATTGAGATGACCTACCGTGTAATCACAAGCTCTACACTGAGGTTTGGACCCAGGCGGCTCAGTGCCCCACGCCCACTGATGCCCGTCCTCCCCCCTGGGTTTCTGAGATGACAAGCTCCTTATCAGACATCAAGACATGCTTTTGAGGTTACTATAAGTAATACTGAATAGGTTCTATATCTGTTCTTGTGTCATACCTGTAATTAGCTAAGGCTTCTGGTTCTGATCTGCAGGGAGAAACAATAGATGAAGAGCGTACAGAGATTGGAGGAGCCGGTCTTGTAATTACACAATAAAGTCAAAGTTAGGCCAGAAAGCTTATTTACTGTGTTCAAATAGATTCGACCTGAAAACTGGTAATTCACTTGTCACCGAGGCCCATTCATTGCCTGCTAATTAATGTTTTTATGGATATAATATGCAGGTTAAAAACACAATGTGTATACTCACGCAAAATAATCCCTTTCAATGATTACTTATAACCTACTGGAAGAGTGTTGCTTTCTAGACATGTGAAAAACAGACTCTACGCTGTCCTCAAATAAAACGCTAGTGAAAACAGGAAAGTATGGCTTCACACACCCATCCACATGGTCTTCGCTGTCGTCAGAGGTATAATTAGTTGGTTTGTATGAGCTGAAACTGACCTGGAAAAAAAAGGAGATAAAAACCACCAGAATTATTGGACAATTTATCAGTTCAGTGACTTTCTGAGGAGTGGCAACTGGTGACTTTGTGGTGGAAAAAAATAATATTTAATAATATTTAAATATATAATAAGTACCTCCCAGGGCACCTTCTCCTCAGGCACAGGGAAGCGCGTGAGTTTGCTGTTTGGGTAGGAAAACTGACGGGAATACACATGGAAACCGCTTCCTTTCTCCGATGTATTCCTGAAAGAATCTGGGGTCTCATCTACGCCAGCTGGAGCTGCAGGTAACCACAAAAATGTGCGCAAACAGCAGCAGATTTAGAATATTTATCAAACATACAACTGTGACATGTAAATAGTGAATTAAATTTGGTACTGACTCCGTGACTGTGTGTCTTTTGAGGGCAGACCCTGAGATTTCAGACTATCCATAATCCACTGCAGGGCTTTAGTAGACTGGCTGACCTGATGAGACAAAGGAAAGTGGATCAACTACTTCTGTTAGCTGCTTAGATCAAGGACGTCAAAGTAATTTTACACGTATAGCTAAGTTTGATCTTAAGTGGGTCAGAGCAGTGAAACTCCTATTTCTGTCAGTGTAAAGTGTAACTACACGTTTAATCCCCGAGATAGAGATTTTTTTCGTTTAACTGTGAACCCACTGTATAAGTACACATTTCTGCATTAGATAGTGAAGAAAACAGGAATCTTATGCCACTTAATTGGTTATTTGCTACTTTATGACTTTGGTGTAGTATGAATGGAAATGGGGGAGGTGTTTATCAGTAGGAAAAGCCATAAAATGTATTAAAAATGCAGTTCAAAGTCTAAAATTCACACCCCTGACACACAAGAGCGTGCCACAAAAAGCGTGCCGTGTCTTTAGTGCCTCAGGTCACCCTCCATTAGCATATCGTGACATATTACAGACACAGGTGCAACATTAGTGCCAACCAAAAGAAATCAGGCCACAACCTGCTCTTCAAGTTGAGTCAGTCTTTTCAGCATGGCAGCAGCGCTCGTTTCCCCATTTCTCTCCAGCAGATCAGTTATGATGTTAACCCTGCAGAAACAAGTGTCAGTTTGAAAATTACTTAAAGAAAATCATCAGTCTTTACAATAAAACAAACAGGAAATTATTATATACTACTTTTTTTTAATAACAGAGTGATTTCAATCATTTTTATGTAAATATTGTTTGGTGAAGCAGCCACATCCAAGTCCTTGGACAGAAAATATCTCAAATTACCCTAAATCTATCCAACTGTGTGTGATACATAAGGTGATTATGCATGCAAATTGGTCCTTTGGTCTCTAAAAGCTCATTAAAAAAAAGAACGTGCAATCACATTTTGGCTGGACTGCTCACTCCGTTTTATGGAAACTGGTGTGATGATGCATAGACAGCACACATACAGCGACTTTCAGCTACATTACTGTGAGATTACTTCTGGGCTGTGTCCAGGATGCGTCTCTCCGTGCTCTGGCTCTGCTCCTGCCGTGCAGACACCAAGTATCTGTCTTTCATCAAGGACTCCCAGGTCAGCAGCTCCTCATCCTCTGTCGGGTTGAGCTCATTCTCTGAAAAACAGCATCACATGCTTTGAATCACTGCATAACCTAATTCTGCACATCCATGCGGACAGAAAACCCTGCACAACAGATAAACTGGGAGTGAGTTAAACAGAAAGAGCAAATACTAGCTGCTCAGCGACCTTTTCTTTTCAGTTCATGTTCAGTTTGGGGGTTTTTTTTTTCTGTATTTTATAGTATTTTATAGTTATAATAATCTTTTTAAAACACAAATTAGGTTTTTGTTTAAAGCACTGTCAGGGTCTGCAGATGACCTCTGAATACATTAAACTTTCAGCATCTTCACTGCCACGTTCTCAACAGCACCAAAAACAGGTAAAAATCTGTCGACCATGAGCAGAGGCAGAGGAGATCATCTGCATTAATGAGATAAATAAAGGGTCATACTCTGGTTACAGTATGATGGGGATAAACTGATCCATCTCCATGGCAACCGGGCAAGCTTCACCTGCTGACGAACACCATGAGATGTGGCTAAAAGCTCTGAAACTTGTGTTTAGATCTAGTTTTGAAAACGGAAGCCTTCACCTGCATTTGAGATACTTGTTTTGATGTGACCTAAATGTGGGATTTCAGTCATGTGATCTGGTTTTGCTCACATGACTGACCTGCTTTTGGAGCCATACTCACTCCACTGGTCACTCAAGAAACAGTTTTATGTGACAGAAAATACAATATTAGATCTTTTGATCTTGTTATTTCATAGTTTTAGTTACAGTGAGTTAAACGTCACCACTAGATGTCAGTAGATTGCAATCAACTGAGTTCTATTTTCTAAACTCTCCCAATTTAGGTGCATAATTCTAGATAAGTTGGTATTGGACTTGGACACTTAGCAAATCAGCTGTCACACGATGTGAGAATATGGTCAAACTGTTCATCAGAGGGAAAGTGGGATCTTTAGGACACTTGAGCCTAACATTAGATGGAGTGATGCCAGAGTAAAAGCAGCTGTTGTTTAGCCGACTCACTGTCTGCTGTACAAAGATGCGAGGGTTGCATGGCTAATCTGCTGATATGTTTTTGTGTGCTAGAGCACTGACTTCAGTTCAGGAGATGAAGCTTGAGGTGATGAGGAAGAGGATGACCTTTTTAAAAAGATCCCATCTCTTTCCTTAGCGTTTTCACCATACATAGGTCTAGCTACCATCTTTCATACCTTGAGTCTGAAGTTGCAGGCACAAATTTAAATCTGCCTTCGTGGCATGTGAACGCCTACAAGTTCTCTTCTTCTTCACCTTTGGGGTACCCTGTATGTGGGTGGTCTGTAGCCATGTACATAAATAATGAAGCATTTTTAATTACACAAAAGTCTGCAAAGGTGTGGATAAACACTTCAGCACTTACTGAACTCTTTGTATATTTTGGGGGGCCTCCACAGCACCATGCTTCTGATGAAGAGGTAGATATGACTGAGGATGATGAAAGGAGGAGGGGCAGCAGGTCGACTGTGGTACTCCTTAATTAACTCGTATCTTTGAAACTTCCATATTTTGTCTGTGTTGTCCTGGACTTCCTCAAATGTAAAGCTGTGCGGGACGATAACACGAAACATAAGGAAGTTTAAAAATAAAAAAAAGGCGAGGGCTCATCATCATCATCATTAAAACAGTAAGATGACAGAAAAGCTCATACACTTTGATGACAAGGAGGACTCACTTGAAAATTGCTATTAAGAGGTTGAGCAGCAGTATGTTGGCAAAGAGCAAATAAACACAAAGCATGATGATGGTGAGCCATTCAGGAAAGACCGGGCTCTGGTTTTCGTTCAACACGGGACATTTAGGCTTCAGGGGATCTGTAGCATTCACGCTGCAAGAGTTCATGTCAAACTCAGTGTCTGCAGGAAGAAAAATGACATCCTCATTAGTGATGAGCAAAGTTGAAGCCTTTGGAGGAGAATAAATATGTGTAACAAAATACTGAAACAAATTATTACAGCTAAAATAAAAAAAATATATATATTTTTTAAAGTATAAGATTCTCAAAATCCACTCACTATCAATATTTTTGGGAAACTGGCCAAATATGATGAGGTATGGCTCGTAAAGCACCCCACGGATGATCCAATCCAGACGATTTTCATTGTGGATGAGGATGCCTTGTTTGGCGACACCATAAGCCACCACCCAGATACTCAGGAGGAACATGAAGAAGAACATGTCCATCATCTGGAGGATAGAAAGGCACCAATCACAAGCAAGAAACACTCAGAAATTGACACATTTAGAAACACGGTTGCAAATTCTGACATCTCATGTATGCTTAGGGAGTAAATAAAGTGTAGCTGAACACAAAGTTGAGGTCTGACTGACTGAAATAAGTGTGGTAACAAAATGATCCAAGTGTTCAAAACACCTTTTTGAAACACAAGGACTACATTTCATCTGCAGACTATGATCGAGGCTCGGTGAGGTAGAAACCTCTTATTGTATTAGGTAAGCGTGTTTTTTTGGTGTAGCCATAAAACCTCAGGTCAGCATGCTTTGTATTTGCTCTGTAAACCCCTCACCATCTTTCTGACTATGATGATTTTGGGTCCAAGGGTTCGGCTGATCGTGAAGATGGCCATGAGACGGAGGCAGAAGACCACAAAATCGATGCAGAGGATGATTTTACCCAGATAAAACAGCTCGGTTGTCAGCCTGAAGTAGGAAAAGCTTGGTGATTCATAGATAATGCAGTGGGTGGATTGATTTCCACAGACTGTCTTAGAGAGCAAAAACCCACCTAAATGCAAGGCCGATAAGGAACAGGACGATGGAGAGGACATCTAAAATATTCCAAAACTCATTGATGTACATCTTGGCTTTCTTACGAAACCCAAAACCATCTGGATCATGAAAGAGCTGAAAGAGAAAAGAGAATTAGACATAAGAGGATTTTATATTACTTAGCATTCGACATACAATCACCTATCATTTAAATTATTTTGATTACTTTCTAATCAATAAATAAATCATTAAAGGATAAAGAAGCCTTTGAAATGAAAACAACAAAAAAAGACAGAAAAAGGGAGTTACTCAGGGACAGGATTTAGGTAGGTAAACAAATTGACTGCCCTCTGTACATCAAGGGGAACTGTGTTAAAATGGGTCACACCCAGAAATCCTCTGAAGACCTTTCCTGCCAGCACCATGTGGGTTATTAAGAAGGTACAACAGCGACTACAACTGCTGGAGCCTACAAGCTGCAGGCCTTGCCTTTTAAGCTCCTCTGCTTAGAACGTAATGGCATATCGTATCTCTGAGTAACAGATCACAGAGCTCTTCAGTGGGTCATCAACACAGCACAGAAAACCATGGATTGCTGTTTACCCTCCCACTGCCAGCTCCTGTCACCTCTTAGGGCTGCACACTTGCTATAATTCCTCACATCCAGGACGCCACCTGTTTGACCTGCTACCCTCTGGATGGAGCGGGACCTTCAGAGCATTTTAAGGACTCAAAGACAGTTCGTTCCCAGGGCCATTTACACAGTGAATTTCAGCTAGGAGTAAATGTCTGTTTACAGGTTATATAATGACTACCTTTTAGGGAAATGACTACTAAAGGTAATTACTTTCAAAGATAATTATATTCATTCTGGTGCAATAATTACTCTCACTGGTGAAACAATGTCATTCATACTACCCCAAAGATTACCCTGATGTAATTTTATATTTATTTATTTGTGTAATGCTTCCTTTTCAGGCGCATGCTTATTCTTTTCTGTCCTATTTTAAATGCATTCGTTTTTGCTGCATTTGTTACAACTACAAAGGTTTTCTATTCTCTGTGGACTTGCTCTGTTACACTGCTCCCTCCTCTAAAAGAAGAAGGGTACTCACCATTTCTTACTGCTGACCTTTTAGACATTTGAGCCTCTAAAGGTGAATGGGGCCACTGTCTGTGTTGAAAAATTCAAAGACTGTCTCTCTACAATACAGTACAGTGCACACAAAGAGAAAAAAAGGCTATTTGTTTGTTGTTTTGTATCATTTGTGGGTCTGAGCCACAGTTTCTCACCTGTCTGATCTCCTCACACACCAACGAGAGCAGCCAGATGTAGAGCAGCAGCTCGCCAGCAGAGGGCGTGCTCTGGAAATCGATCATCAGCACCACAGCAAACAGGAAGAGGAAGGCAAAATAAAATACAATGTTCCAGTAAAATTTAACCTGTGGGGAGGTGTACAGGTACATCAGCCTGGACCAGCAGCCCAGAGGCTTCATGGGCTTCAAGCTGTGGACAGAAAGATCACTGCAGTTAGAGAGACAATGCCATGTTTTCATGTATCCACTGTTTATTCAACTTCAAATGACATTTAAGGGTTGATATTTGCATTAAGGAACAAGTATGTACATACGGGCCATAACCATTTCTTCTAAGTGTGCTTCCTGTCAGGGTCTCCACTGTCTTCATCTCCTCGTCTTTCGCAGTTTCTCTCTGGATGATTTCATCATGTCTGTGGAAAAGTTACACTTTTGACCACAGCTGAAACTCAATCAGGTATTATTATTAAAAAGAATACAAGCAGAAAGTTAAATTGGGGCATTGTTTAATTAACAATGTCAAAAACCCTCCAAACAAAGGCATTTGAAACCATTAATCACATTCGTCAATAATGAATCGTAGTTTAAATGCGTGGCACCTCGCATTATGAACATTGTTCAGCATATTATGAAGAATACGCATTGCTCTATAATTCAGAACAACTATCTCAATTAAAGTTAAAATCTAAAACGATAAATAATCCATCCATTTCTTCCTTTGGGTCACGGGGGGCCTAAACAGAGAAGTCTACACCTCCCTCTCCCCAAGCCACCTCCTCCAGGTTATCCAGGGGAACACAGTGGCCAACCGAGTGTGTCCAAGGTCTACCCAAGGGCCTCCTCAGAGTAGGACATGCCCGGGAGGCGACTGCCCCAACTGGCTCCTTTCGACATTGAGGAGTAGCGGCTCTACTCTGAGTACCTCCTGAATGACTCCTCAACCTATTTCTAAAGAAGAAAGCTAATTTCCGCCACTTGTATCTGTGATTTAAAATAATAAGTAACAATAACAGGCTTAAAAAGGAGGTTAGGCATAACATTTAGGACACAACAATTTTCCAGTTTTTGGCATCAATTGAGACGTTAACAATTAGATTAAAGTACAAGTACATCTAGTACCGACAGTAGTAACAATTAGTCACACACATCCTTACATTACACCAGATGTAAGAATCTCCACTTAGTCACTGTGTAAACTGTCACGTTTCTCTCGGTGAACTTCTGTTTAGCATCCATGGTGTTGTTGTCAGATTTTCCTCCTATGGGTTTTTGGATGTTAACTATTGTTTGGCCATATAGCTAATCTCTGTCAGGGAAACTTCCAGCAAAATACACATCTAAATCTTGGAAAGTGACTTCATTTTTTCCCCTGAATGCACTGATGAAAGCTTTATCTGCATTTTCCCTCCTTTATCCTTCTTATTTGCTTTAAAAATTCATCCACACATGGCAGCAATTCCATGGTGTATGAAAGATGAATCAGGAGTCATTTTAGATGACACAGTTGTAGATATGTGTTGTACGGTATATTTAGTCAGTTTCTGTCAAATGAAAACAAGTGAGAGTTGTCTGTGCCTGGACATTACATTGGTGGCTTACTGTATATTTATGTATTTGTGTATGTTTAAAATTAAGTTAAAGTAAAACTTTTAATATGTATGTATTGTGACAAAGTGGTAGGCTTGAACTTATTTACCACTTGTGCCTTAAACATATTGATTTATCCCATGTTATTTTACAGTTGGCCATAATGCTTTAGTTTAGACATTGCTGGTGTAACTTTGCTCTACATACTCTCCTGGGTTTGTTTGTGGTAGCGTTATGTTACAGTTTACATCCATGCATATGCTTTTAAGGCAAATACTACTTAACCATCAGGTGGTTTGAATTTTTTTCTGCCATAGGCAGAATGACACGGTAAATTATGTTTGCTTTTGTTGCTTTGGTTATAATTACCTTTGTTTGTCCCTTTGTTCTGGTCATACAGCCAAAACAGGTGTGTGGGAGGGGCCGAACTGGCACTTCCTTTTTATATAAGGTCATGAGGTCATTGATTGCATCATTGGGTACAACCAAATGAAGGGTTTTTCCTTTTGTATAGTAATGTTTATTTTCTTCAGGGTTGTTTTGAGATGGTAGAATGGAGATGCCAGGAAAAAAAAATGTGACCAGTGTTGCGTTGATGCAGTCTATTTATCACTTTCCTTACCACTTGCTCTAACCTACTTCAAACACATCTGTACAGTAGCATGGCATTATCCATTATTAGGCAAAAAAGCCTTTTGTGTGTGGTCTAAAGCCAGCCCATCCAACTCCCTAGTAGTCATTTACATATGCTATGCTTCCTTTCTTCACTTGGGAAGAATTTATTTATCTTATCTCTATTTTGCTCCATTCTGTTTGCCAGTGTTAATAAAAACACATATAAACACAGTAGCATTGTACAAGCCATTGTACCCCTTAGCTGGCTGGCAGGTCTCACCTGAAACACAGAAAGCCAGTGAAGATAAGAGGGAAAAACACCATGCAGATCAGCACTCTCCACACAGGGTTCTCTACTGAAAGCTTACCACACCAGATCTGAGTCAGCAGAGCCTGAAAGACACGTTTACACAGACTGCATTATAATGCAGCACCAAGAAAAAGTTTGAAATTAAATTGAGCGATTTCTTAATTTTGTAACTTTAATTGATCTACTCAACATTGTGATGTATAACACACTGGCAATCCCCTCTGGAAAAATCTAAAATTTCCTCTACCTGAACACCAGACTGAGCTATGACGTTTTTGTCATCTGCCTCGAGTGCCAGCCGCAGGCATGTCGTTCTGCCCCACAAGTGTGACATGCGAACCAGCAGTTTCTTAGCGCGTGACTCGTCACTGTTGTGGCACTCGGTGAAGACACCTGGGACACACATATACGCAGCCTGAGGATAAATTCAAGCCCCGTAACAATCACGGTCAATTCAGCCATGTTATGATATGTGTTATACCAATGGCATGTTTCTCATAGTGATTGGCGAGTTCTCGCATTTCTTCTGCATCATCTGCATCGCTTCCTTCTCGTGCCATTTTCTTCAGGATCTTACTGGCAGCCAGAGCAGCAGACATACAATCCCTACACTGTTAGTACACAGATACAGAAAGATGTGAGGTCATAAACACGCCACGCAAGCAGCTATGGTTGAAGTTTCCAGAAGTGCTTTCGTCACCTGCTCCCAGGCAATTTCAGCCAGTTCCTTGTTATTCTGGACGACAGCCCAAAGGAAAAGGTCTGTGCCCGGGTCCCTCTGTGTTTCAGGACTGTCCTCCCTGAGCTGAGCTTGGGAACTTGTCTGACTTTTAGACGGCTAAAAAGAAAGTGAAGGAGTCTGTTATTATTATATGATTAATGTTCACAATGCCAGGATTTCTGATATAATGATACCCTACAGCATATTCAGTCTAAATACTTTGCATATTTACTGAATATTTTACTCCTACTAACATCTATTTCCATAAAATAAGCTTTCTCAAATTATAAAAAATAAAATTGGGTAAGATACAACACGTGATTAATTGGCAAAAAGACAGATTCAGTGTTTCAAACAAAAAAACAGAGTGGATGAACTAACTCACTGACAGTGACGTTTCATCCATGGACATGTTTAACTGGTCTGTGGTGGTGGAGGGAGGATAGAGGGGCTGGGTGAACTTCCCCAGCAAGTGGCGCACCTCATCAGAGACATAAGTTAAGGAGATCTTTTCGCCTTGCTCCCTGCAAGCTCGAGGTCTGATGCCGAAAGCTTGCCTCCCGCTGCGTCGAGCACTGTGGATCCGCTTAGCCAGCTTGCGCAGAAAGAAGCAGCTGGGCAGCTGTGTGTAGAGCTCACACAGAGTTTCCTCCTCCTGCAGGAAATCCCTCAGACTCACACCGTTCTCCAGCAACAGACTCACAAACTGAGGCTTGTTGCCAGCCAGGGCTGAGAACATGGCCCAGTGGAGGTCGTTGGACTAGAAGCAGGAAAAAAATCAGAACAACATCATCAGAATTTTTGTTGTTTTTTTTGTCTAGTATCATTGTTTTAGAAACAAAGGATGGTGTGATGGCAAAGTTCAACATGGAGACAATAAAATGAAGGAAAAGCAGACTGCTATTTCTTTCTAGACCTCTTCTCTGCTACTCGTAAAACCTTTATAATATGATGCATGCTGCTGCTGAATCAGCTGACTTTATGGTGTTATGGTGGCAAGAAGGCTTTCTGTATTGATAATATGGGCTGGGTTTACCTTTGGAACCAGTTTCGAACACAGCAAACTCTCCCTATAGTTAAACCTATATGTATGTCAATTATTTACAGTTTTTCACTTCTCCAGTGAAAATGGCATGTGTGGCCAGTCTGGCACCTGATAGGCTCACATAATTACCTATTTTAGTTTTCCCATTCAATAAATTTATCTTACTAATACAAACCAGGATTTCAATGCTTTTTAATCACAAAGCCTGTGCTGTAAAGGTCATGATTTTTCTCTTTCATTTCAATTCCCTTTTCCCCCCTAACATCAGAAATCAGACTAAGCAGTCACACAAGAGGTAGGTATCAACTAAATAAGGCAACCCAGAGTTTCCCAATCTAGCTATGAGTTTGTTTGCACAAAAGGGAAGCATGTAACCAATCAGAAACATGGACAGCTTTACTAGCAACAGAGTGATATACTTTACAAAGAAGGTTAAATGTTAGAGAAAAGACTGGAAAAGCAGTGTGCATGAAGTCCAAGAAAAGTGTGTAAACTGAAAGTAAGTAGAGAAGAAATATAAAAACGTTAATTTATTATTTTATTTTTACATAATTCAAACAGAATTACATTTTAGAATAACATCACCAGGTGCAAGGCTTAGGTGCCTTGCCTTACAGAAGAATAAAATTCAGCATTACTTGCAGCCAGCAGGACAGAAGGAAGGGATAAAGTTATTTGGAGGAACTGATGTTTCTTATTGATGTTCAGCAGGAAATGGGGGAGAAAAAACACTATCTGGGTAACTGATCAGAGAGTGATGTTGGTTTTCTATTTAAAAGACAAACCCACCTTCCACTGGCTCTCCTCAGTGAAGATCTCAGTCTCAGCTATATCCACCCGGTTCCAGGTTATAGCCAGCTCCAGCTGCCTATTCCAGCATTCAACTTCCAGGAATTCACTGGATCTTGAGGCTGAAAGGAGAATTTACAGTGATTCGATTTATTTGTCTCTTGTCTCTCTAAAAAGCTCATCCACTGCTCGGTGCATTTTAGATAGTATCGGAGCGATCGTGGCTCAAGAGTTGGGAGTTCGCCTTGTAATCGGAAGGTTGCCGGTTCGAGCCCCGGCTCAGACAGTCTCGCTCGTTGTGTCCTTGGGCAAGACACTTCTCCTACCGCCTACTGGTGTTAGCCAGAAGGGCCGATGGCGCGATATGGCAGCCTCGCTTCTGTCAGTCTGCCCCAGGGTGGCTGTGGCTACAACTGTAGCTTGCCTTCACCAGTGTGTGACTGGGTGTGTAAAGGGCCTTGGGGTCCCTAGGGGGGACTAGTAAAAGCGCTATACAAATACAGGCCATTTACTATTTGAATGTAAAAAGTTGTTTTTTTCATTTATCCAATGACTAATCTAATTGATTTTTAAATAAATTCTTACACATCTGAGAATGATGTTTTCCCCCAGCAAATCTTTTAAAAATATTTATATTACAACAAAAAGACAAGCAAGAGTCCAGTCTGACAAGATGGAAGCATGGACGTGTTTGGTTTATCATCAAAACCAAATATCAAACATAAACCAATTATTTTTCTATTATAGTGTTCTTGATGCATTAGTACAGGAAAATTTCCAGTTGTACTACCAGGACTGTAGTCATGTGACTATAATGGGAGACACTGGATGACCTACATTAGCTGAGATAGCAGAAAGGCGCCCAGATAATGTGGTTTAATTACCCAGATGGATGGAAAGTCTGGACAAAGCTGATAAACTAGAATGATGACTCATCACGGTCAAAAGATTAAGTGAATGTCCAGTGTGGTGGACTCACTTACGGTTTCAGTGCACTTTAGCTCAGATTTCTTTGCTAAGCTTGGTTTAAATGGGTTTCTTAGGTATTTTTTCAGAATATCATGAGGCGTTATTAGTCTGAAGGAAGCATGGCACATTTTTAAAGACATCAAGGCTGTCTGGTTAGGATCCGGGCATTTGCTTCAAATCCATATTCTTACCTTTGAGTAGTGCTTGAAGAATGGCCACATCCAAATCCCCGTGATAGTCCTCGCTCACTCTGAACACTGTCAGCAGGTGTGACATCCTGATGATGTCCTGAATCTACAAATTCAATAAAGAAAAACGTTTAAATACTGGAACCACTGTTTCTTTGGCTCTGGCTCAGACATCTCTGGTGAGCACACAACAAACTTCGTGCAAATATTTTCATCTTTGATATTTAGTCATTTAGCTGCAGGAAACAGTTCTGCAGCTAAAACTGTGCTGTTCAACATATGTTACTGAAGATGCATGGTGATGAAGATGAAGGTGTCATCCTGACAAAGAAAAATGTGAACAGCAAATGTAATAGACCTAAATCTGACATAAGACAAGCAGACATGAAACACATGACGGGAGAGGAGACTTAGACACAGGGGGGTGAGGACCTTAGAGGAATCGAATATATATCGAATATATATAAGGTGCAATATGGGAAGAAGGCAAGCCAGCAGAGGCAGTGTGATGCTTTGTGCAATGTTCTGCTGGGAAACCTTGGGTCCTGCAATTCATGTGGATATTACCTGGAAATGTACTAACTAGCAAAGAACTGTTGCAGACAATGTAGAACCTTTAATGGAAATGGTATTCCCTGATGGGTGTGGCTTCTTTCAGCAGGATGATTCTCCCTGCCACAAAGCAAAATAGTCCAGGAATGGTTTGAGGAGCACAACAACGAGTTTGAGGTGTTGAATTAGCCTCCAAGTTCCCCAGAGCTCAATTTCCCCAATCGAGCATCTATTGGGGAAATAAAGACTGATAATGACTGAACAAAAAAACCTATGTACATGGATGCCCACCTCACAATTAACAGGACTTATAGGCTCTGTTGCTAACATATTTTTGCAGCTATAACAGGACACCTTCAGGGATCTAGTGGACTCCATGTCAAGGTCGATGGGTCGGAGTCATTTTGGCAGCAAAAGGAGGATAAACACAATATTAGACAGATGGTCATAATGTTATACCTGATTGGTGTATATACATTGTGGCAATATCTAACACAGAAAACATCATCTGAGATGATAATGTCAACTACTAGATCAGTCACAAAATATGACTCATGACCATCCAAGTAAGGCATGTATGAAAACACTGCTTTTACACTGTCAATTTAGGGCAGCTATTGCATAAACATAAGTCTGGGTGGTTGTCTAATATCCATCCATCCATCCATTCGCTTATCCTTTTCAGAGCCTATGCCAGCTGTCATAGGGCAAGAGGCAGGTACACCTTGGACAGGTTGCCAGTCTGTCGCAGGGCTAACACACAGAGACAACCATTCGCACTCACATTCACTCCCGCAGTCACACCTATGGGCAATTTGGATTAATCAATTAACCTATCCCCACAAACTGCATGTCTTTGTACGGTGGGAGGAAGCCGGAGTACCTGGAGGGAACCCACGCAAACACGGGGAGAACATGCAAACTCCACACTTTGGGCAAAAAAGCTTCTATAGTAAGTTCAGTAATTTTATGGTATTCAGTATATTTACATACCTTCTTGGTCCATTCTATGATTTTGCCATCTGAGAATTGTTCATACTCTTGACCAAAAAACTTCTTCATCAACTGCTGGATGAGGGCAATAGTGACTCGGATTAGTGGCAGTCCTGACACGTGTGCAATAACATCTGCTATTCTCCCAGAGCCCTCCAAGATCACGCATGGTGTTCCATGGAGCATAGCATTGTAGATGGTCTGAGAGGAGACACACAGGGCAGTTATACAACACACACACACACACACACACACTGACACTGACACTGGGGGAGAGAGGCCAAAAAACAGCTGACTCACATTCAGCGTGCCTGGTCCGCCATCCAAAACCACACACACCACAGGAATAGTCACACCAGTCCCTAAAGATCAAATATTTGATCAATTAAAAAATATATATATCAAAAGCTTGAAATATATATTATCATATTTCAATAAATATCTGTGTTGTCTTATTGATTTTTTAGATACTACATCTGTTATCTTTAACCTTTATTTCCAAGACACTTTCTGGTGATCCACATCTCTAGGCAGCTACGCAATTTAATCTCTACACCATAATGTCCGTGGGTTCCATCATCCACCAGTAGGAAGTGGGTATGGTTGCTGTCGAGAGTGGATAGTTGGCCCTGGTTCCCAGTGTCCATCAAATAATGGGCAGGGAAGCATCCCTAAAGGAAAAAGACGGAGAGTGAGAAGAATTTACAGTAACCGAATGCTAAGAAGATGATGCCATCTCACCATAAGTGTTTGTCCTACCTCTGGATGCACCAGTGCTTTCCTGTTATGAATTATCCCCCATGTTGCCACTCCAATAGTTACAATCTTGCCCTGCATGGAGCTACTCATGGCGTAGTCCCTCACAGCCTGCCCCACGTGCTTCATCACACCTGCGTGGGTACCACCAGTGATGATCCATGCACCTGCGTACAAAGCAGCATATTCACCAGTAGAACAAAATATCTCTAAAATATGAAAGTCAATATTAAGAGCCTTACAGTCCTGACTTTAAAGATAGGACTCCTATGTGAACGTTTTTCTGGAAACAACCTAAAAATCATGCAAAAAAAGGGGGGTGGGGGTGGTTAATGGGGGGGTGGGGGGGGGTGGGGGGGGGTTGAGTGTGGGACTGTTTCTGGGCCTGGAGCAATCATTTTCTGAAAGCTTCACAAGTCCGCAAGGTTACCAGGAAACCAGGAGAGATATTCAGGATGCTAGAATTACAAGTTTTTACTGTTTTTACAGTTAGTACAAACGCAAACTACATATAGCTGAAGTCTATCTGACTACCAAAATGAACAGAACAGAAGCACGGGAGGTGGCACGTAGCCATAAAAACACTACTTTCTGTGCAATGAATGATCTCTCACACACAAATCTATTGCTCGCTTGCTCTTGTTCTGGCTGACCTGTTGTCTGGGCCACTTTGATCAGCCCTCTGTGGAACATGTTCTTAAGATGAGACTTCAGATAGAAATTCTTGGCTCCTCCGGTAACTGAGATCAGTAGATTGGGGGGGGACAGTTTCCATTGTTCAGTCAATAACTGGTACAGGATCTCAGGGCTGGTGTCTGTGGACACTCGGGCGTACTGACGGTGGACATGTACACACAGATTTAAAGGATGGCATAAAGACTTGCAGATGTGCATTTACACAGTAACATAATGTAGAGTAAGGACTGGCTCACCTTGCCTGTCTTTTGTCCCAAACCACCAAAGCTGATGTCTCCAAAAGCGTCAGTGGGCGCTTCACGGACATGTCTGTGTATGTTCCACGACTCGCCTGTGAAGTCTTCTGGCTTGATGGCTTCGTCTGTATGATCAGTTTTTGCGTAGCCACACTTACACACATCCCCACTACAGAAACAGTAGAGAAACAGAAGCCGATGTTTAAGATTTAAAAAAGTATAAATACATTAATTCTTCTTCACCTGCTTTGCAGATATCCAGTAGTTTTAATTAAAAAGCTAATTTGTTTAGAAATGCCCATTTTTTAGTGTTCAAAGTTTGTTTTGCATTCTGTATTTTATTTAGCTGAAAACTGCATTATCATGTAACTGACCCCACAGCACCACTCTATTACAGCAACAACAAGAAGGTCAGTCCTAAGTCAGTCCTCATCAATTCAGCATAGTGCAGAGCAGCCCAGCTTACCTTCCATCTTTTTCAAAAAAGCAGCATTCCTTCTTGCAAATGTTTTCCTTGATCCAGGAGGCGAGAGCAAGGCGCTGGAACGAAGGGGACAGAAAAAGGTGTTTAGAGGGTCTGGCTGTGTTAACCGCCAGAGTATGAACTAGCCGTGACTCCAAGCCAGCTTCCGACATCCTGGCACAACATGGGAAATTGTGTTGATGAGATCGAGCTTAGGATGAGGTCTGCCAGAGTGGCAGGAGAGAGGAGGCTCTGCAGCAACCGCTTTGGGTGCTCGACATTGCAACAGTGATGTCAGAGCTGTGTTGCTGCTGAGCAAGCTGCACGAACCTAATACTTACTGTAGAGGAAAGGCAGCAGTCGGGCAGTGGTTGTGGATCAACACATAAATGCGTTAATGAGTGAGTTAATTGCACTCAGATTTCTTAATGAGGGCATAAAAGAGCAATGATTTTTAAGGAACTAGCACAATTTAAAAATAATTCCTATCATTATAGCCAAACTATTATACTTGTGAACAAAACATGAAAGACAGTTTAGGTTTAACATAACATGAAATAGTAGAAATCAAAGCACATTTATTCAGTTACTGTACTCTACTTTGCTCACACATTTTAATTAAGTATCTTGATTTTATGATGTCGGGCTTCTCCTCCACTCTATACAGCACTTTTCATCACAGGAGCTATTTGCCAGCTACACTTTGTAGATTAATATTGTATATATGAAACTCATGATAGGTTAATGTAATATAAGTCATTACATGAATACTTTTGGTTTTGATATATTACCCCATTTATAGTGAAGTTTAGAAAACAGTACTTTTAATATGGATATGATATAGTTACAATGCCAGTTTTCTTAATCCTAATCCTGTGTGAAAAATAAAAGCTTGTGACAGATAAACACCCACCTTATACAAAGCAGAAACCAATCCTTGATTTATTCCATGTGTTTTTTGCTGCTGCAACTGCTGAGTCACTTGGATTGGGTGAACCTTGCTCTCAAATTTAGGTAGCATATCTGAAAGCGCAATAATAAAAAAAAGAAAAGCTTGCTGTGTAAAAGATTTCTTGAAGAGCTAGCGTCCAAAAACAACAAGAAATAATTTACAGCTAGTTACACACAGATAACACAACATGTTTAAGCCCACACTGACCAGCTGTTTCAGACATCATCAACGAAGCCTTCAAGACGCCTCACATGAGAGAGTGAGAGGCTGCGTGACTTTATCACATCACACTGTTAAACTGGCTCCTCCCTCAGAAAACAATATAAACCACCAAGGGATTTCACTAGATGACATAATCTGCTATCTAGCCAGGCTTCGTATTACTCACAGTTACATAGCCTGAGATATACCCTCACTGGCCACTTCATGAGGTACACCTTGCTAGTACTGGGTTGGACCCCCTTTTGTCTTTCAAGATTTCTGGTCCATGTTTAGTTGATAGCATCACACAGCTGCTGGAGTTGGCTGCACATGAATGATGTGAATCTCCCATTTCACCACATACTAAAGGTGCTCTATTGGATTGAGATCTTGTGACTGTGGATGCTTTTTGATTAAGGTGAACTCAGTGTCATATTCAAGAAACCAGTTTGAGATGATTTGAGCTTGTGACATAATGCATTATCCTGCTGGAAGCAGCCATCAGAATCTGGGTACACCGCAATCAAAGGGATGGACATGGTCAGCTGTAGTGTTTAAGCAGTGGTCAGTTGGTAATGAGGCGCCCAAAGTGTAACAAGATCTCCCACCACCATCAACCAAGCCAAAGCATAGATGCAAAGCGTCCATGCAATGTTGTTAACGCCAAAGTCTGAGTCCAACATCCAAATGTTGCAGCAGACTCATGAGACGAGAAATTTTTCCAAGCTTCCATTGTCCAATTTTGGTGAGTATGTAAGAATTGTAGCCTCAATTTCCATTTCCTCGCTGACAGGAGGGGCACCCAGTGTGGTCTTCTGCTGCTGTAGTCCATCTGAGCTGTGCACTCAGAGAAGCTCCTGTACATACTTTGGTTGTAACGAGTAGTTATTTGAATTTTTTGTGTTGTGTTTTCTGCCCATTAGCTTGATGCAGTCTGGCTATTTTCCTCTATTCTGCAACATCAACAAGGCATTTTCACCCAGAGAACTGCTGCTCACTGGATTTTTGCTATTTTTCAAACCATTGGGGAAAAAAATCTAGCACCAACAACTGCATCATGTTCAGTCACTTAAACCACCTTTCTTTCCCTGATGTTCAGTTTGAGCCTCAGGAGGCTGTTCTGACCATGTCTCCATATTGAAGTACTTTGGGTTGCTACCGTGTGACTGTCTGATTTATTACCTGCATTAACAAGCAGATGAACAGGTGTACCTAATGAACCGGACGATGAGTGTATATTCAAAAATGTGAGTTCAACACGCTGAATGAGATTAGATTCACCAATTATGTAACATGCCTATACACATTTTAGTATCATATATAAGAACGCTTTACAGAATCGTTTGCACACACACACACACACACACACACACACACACACACACACACACACACACACACACACACTTACCTCCTAGATCCTCCTTTCATTTAAAAATACAACAAGAAGGACATGAAATCACTTCTTGGGACTTCTTTGAATGTCGCACATTCCCAGGTTTATGAAAACGGTGTGTTTTATGTGGTATGGCACTAGTTGCCAGGTAACACAGATGGGATCAAGTTACTGAACTGAGCACTGGTTCACTATCAGGAGATAAATATACTGCGGTTATTGCGGCAAGTAATCAAATTTAAGTTTCTGTTACATACCGTATTTTGACACAAAGTTTGTTATCAGTGCTGATCCACTATAAATGTAATGATTGTCCAGTGTCTGCTCTATAATTGGCCTCCAGTAAGGTCATGTTTTTGGCAGAGTTTGCATGCGTAATCTGTAAGCATGATAGCACAAAGAGTTTTGCATGAATTCTTCTAAAACCTACTAGAGGTGTAGAGTGGGATCATGTAGACAGTCCATTAAAATTTGACCTCCATGCCCTAAGGTCTCCAAGGTCAACTTAATGATTTATTGGTCAACAACTGACAAAAAACTAACTAAATGTGGTATTTATTGTCAACATACAGAAAGCACAGTATAAAGATTTAGTTAATTTAATAAATGTGACTTCTGACCTCTCCTTCAAGCTCAAAGAGAATAATTATAGAGGTATTTAAAATACATTTCTTACTACCATTGTTTGTATTAACAACAGACAGGCATACTGGGAATGATATAGATGATATAGAATGATTTTTAAAATTTCTTTCAAATTGCATTTAGCAAATGATATTAGAGGTTTTGTCTTGATCTTAATCTTTAACAAAAAAATTCCACCAGTGATGGAGGAAGCGCTCTGATCATTCAGTAAAATTACAGCGAGCACACAGTAAAAACACCTTAAACTGTTACTTAAGGTAGAGAGTAAGTCTTACTCAAGCATGAAAATGCATTTACGTTAAAAGTAAAATTACTCGGAAATTAGAGCATAAAGATTAGAATAAAATGGTACATTAGGCTTTAGGCTTGAATCTCTTAAATGCACCAGACCGATTACACTGGGCTGCACTGAAGTCAGGGTAAAATCTGAAGATGTGATCTCAGTACTGGAGTTTATGTTGCACAGCATGGCCTTTGTCTTTGTAACCAGGATTGGGAGCAGCTCTACCTGCAGGTGTAGGGACAAGACAAAAGTGGACACTCTGAAGTGAAGGGCTCATGATTTCAGTTGTCATTTGAGAAAGAAATAAGGCAGGTCTCAGTACTATAAGCACAACTCCAGTATGGCACTTCCATAAGTCTAAATATAGAGAGGACATAGAGGGGGCGACACACTGTCTTACAGACTACCTCAACTTTTGTGTGGACACAGTCGCCCCTGCTAAGACGGTACGGTGTTATCCTAATAACAAACCGTGGGTAACACAGGAAGTCAAAGCTGTCCTCAACATGAAGAAGAAGGCTTTCAGGAGCAAAGTGAAGGAGGAGATGAAAGCAGCACAGCGGGAGGTGAAACGCTGCCTGAGGGAAGCAAAGGACACCTACAGGAGGAAGGTGGAGCAGAAGTTGGAGAGGAACAATATGAGGGAGGTCTGGAATGGTGTGAAAACCATCACAGGCCACAACACCAAGAAAAGCACAGTGGGGGGGGGACTGTGGAGAAGGCAAACGAACTCAACAACTTCTTCAACAGGTTTGACCAGCCCACAACCCCCCCACCCTCACCCTCACCTTCACTACAGAGTCCTCCCCCACTCTCCTACCTCCCTCGCTTCCCCCCCTTCCTGACACCATGACACCCCCTCCTCCAATCCCTCTCTCAGCAGCAAGACATCTCCCCCCCTCCCCTCCTCCCAAACATCTCCCAGTGTCACAGTGGATCAGGTCAGGAGGCAACTGAGGAAGCTTCGCCCCAGAAAGGCAGCAGGCCCAGACAAGGTGTGTCCTAGGATGCTAAAGGCGTGTGCTGCTGAACTTGGGGAGCCGCTACAACGAGTCTTCAACCTCAGTCTGCGACTGGGGAGAGTGCCCGCCCTATGGAAGACATCCTGCATCGTCCCGGTCCCCAAAAAGAACCGGCCCAATGAGCTGAATGACTTCCGACCGGTGGCACTGACGTCACATCTTATGAAGACTCTAGAGCGGCTCTTCCTCAACTTCCTCCGACCACAGGTACAACATGCCCAGGACCCACTACAGTTTGCATACAAGGCGGGTGTCGGAGTGGAGGATGCCATCCTGTACCTCCTACACAGAGCCCACTCACACCTGGATGGGGGAAAAGGCACGGTCAGGATACTGTTTCTTGACTTTTCCAGTGCCTTTAATACCATCCGGCCCTGTATGCTTCAGGAAAAACTGAACAGGATGGAGGTGGACCCCTGCCTGGTGGCTTGGATCTCCGACTACCTCACCGACAGACCACAGTACGTCAGGCTGAAGGACATCACGTCTGACACTGTGGTCAGCAGCACAGGAGCACCACAGGGAACTGTGCTGTCCCCTCTTCTCTTCACCCTGTACACCTCTGACTTCTGCTACAACTCTGAATTATGCCATATTCAGAAGTTTGCAGATGACACGGCCATCATGGGGTGTATCTGGGATGATCAGGAAGAGGAGTACAGAAGTCTGGTGAG